TCTGTATGCCTGCGGCTCCGTCCCAAGGCTCCCGGCTGAGGTGTACCCTCCCGGCTGAGGTGTGCGTGTAGGCAGCATGCAGCCGCTGGCTGAAAGCAAGTTGAGCCACCGTTCCACCCTGCGGTGTCCCAGGCGCCGCCCCGCCTAGGCGTCAGCTAGGCAGGGGTCGGCGGACATTTTCCAAGTAGAAAGGCGTCTGATGACCTGCTGGTCGGAACATCGAGGAAACAAGAGGCGTTGCTAAAGAACAACACACTTCAAAAACATCTTGTTGACTTTACAATCCAATTGTTTGTTTTTACTTTATTTTGCTTTTTAGTCAACAGTTTACACTATTCATGAATGATATTGAAGAACTTGAGGGCAACCTAAACTGCAATGACCTAAGAGGAGCCTTGAAGAAACCTCGCCGTGGAAAAACCTTGATTCGTAGCGTCCTTGCTCCTAGTAGTGAGGCCAGGAGCCCCTAGTAGCGTCCTTGTTGCTACTAGTAAGGCACTTGTTACTAGAAGCGATGCACTTGTTCCTAGTAGCGTCCGATCGCTCCTAGTAGTGATGCCAGGAGCCCCGTTCGTAGCATCCTTGCTGGGCCGGTTCCGCAGATCTGAAGGCCTCCAGCCACGTCATGGGCCTCGAAGCTTTGGCGGACTTCCTGGGTGAGGCGAGCCTCGTGGAGCGGTGTTTGCAGGTAAACTCAGTCAGGTAGACTGTAGACTCAGGTATCAGATTTCAAAGGATTCCAATCTCACTATGTCTTGCTGTCCTACTTACTTCATCTTATTTCTACCGACCCCTGTGGGTCGGTAGAAAGGACGCCCCTCACTTCCCCGCCGACCTCGGCCGGTCAGGCGGTGCCGGAGATGGATCGCCTCGTGGCGCTGTGTGGCGACTTCGCCGCGCGGCGCCGGGCCGCGGTGGCGCGCGCCAAGGTGCGGAACGGCGGAGGGCGGAGAGAACGGAGCGGACGTGAACGTGCTGTGGGAGAACAGGTCGAGAGATGAGAAAAGCATGAAACACATCCACATCAGGCTCCGTTTTCGGAGATGACATGATTTCGGATCATGATTTGCGTCTGCTCTTGTTCCATGCCAGGCTGCGATCGAAACTGCAGACGCTGAGGAACGTGCTTCTGCCGTTGGCCTGCTACAGGTCGGAGACGCAGAAACCACAAGAAACTGCCAACCCAAGACCACGAGAAAGCACAAGACTCAGGGAAGCAAGGCAGCAAGGTCTTTGTGTTGTTTTTGGCTTCTGACTTCAGTGGTTTTTTTCCGAATGGACCTTCGTGCGTCGTTTTGTTGACGGCAGGAAGCACTTTCGCCCCCAAGCCGCCTGGCGCTCGGTCTCCGAAGGGCTGAAGCCCAACATAGATGCAACGAAAACCGGAGGAACACAAGAAGACATCCTTTTTTTGCTTCGGGGGCCTTTATAAGGTAATCAGGCAGCCACTACTTAATGAAACCCCAACAGCTTCTTTCATTTCTCATTTCTCATTCAATCCTGAGCCCCTAGTAGCGTCCTTGTTACTACTAGTAAGGCACTTGTTACTAGAAGCGATGCACTTGTTCCTAGTAGCGTCCTTGTTCCTTGTGCCTCAGGTGTGGACTTTCCGCGCATCACGGAGATCTGTCAACGAGTGGCGGACCGGCCTGATGAGGCCAGACCGGTCGGACGAAGCAGACGCGCCAAACGCCATTCGGAGCGGCGGAGAAGACTTGACGTAAAGCTGTACAGTATATTGCACTATCTATATATACCATCGATATACCATCCTTGCCTCTAGTATACCTTCCTTTGGTAATATGTTCATTCACATATTTTCTACAGACCCGCCAGGCTGAACAAAGCGCAGCGATGCTTTGGGCCGCCTTGTCCAGCACTGAGGTGCTTCGCAGGGTGCGTCACATGGTGCGTTTCGCTGGCTGCTGCTAGAGCCCTCACCACCGTTTTCCTCCAACAATTGGCTTTCACGTGTGGACCAATCAAATCATATAATTAGTCCTATATATATAGTTATACTTGCTCTCTTTTGCAGGGCAATTCAGAGGTGCCCCGCCGACAGTTGAAGGCGCGAGCTGCAGTGACAGTTTCATTCTTGACCCACTTTTGTGAGAAGCCGCGCCTTGCATTTCACTAGGGGCTCCTGGCCTTACTACTAGGAGCAAGGACGCTACTAGGAGCAAGGACGCTACTAGGGGCTCCTGGCATCGCTACTAGTAACAAGAAGCTACTAGGGGCTGGTCTTACTACTAGGCAGACTGTTCTGCGGACCAGAGGCCCTGACTATCGCCCACGAGTTGCTGTACGACGATCGGGTGCTAGCTGCCTTTACAGAGCAGGACACAGAGCCACTGAAAGGCTGCGCAGCATGACATCGATCTTGACGTCACTTGAAAGGGACATCGCTGGTTCAGATTTGTTACCATTACTTCATGGAAAGGGGAAGATCCGCCTTTAGCTTGGTGCTGATTGCAGGCCTTGAATCTTCCAGCCCTGGCACCCTAGGAAGAGCTGCTGAGGCCAAGCCCTAAAGCTTTGAAATCGAAATCGACAGATCGAAGAATCTCAACACTTCAACAGAGAACTCTTGATTTTCCCATGTTTTTTCAGTGCATTGGTGAATGTTCCTTCGCTTGATCTCGAGTGCATCAAACAAGACAAGCATCTAAATTTGTTTTATTGTTTTTACATTTGTTTGAACAATATGTCTTTTTGTGTTTTGGTCACATGTTGAAAGGAAGCGATGCGCATGCTGGCGGCAGAAGTCCGCCGCCGTGTCGAAGAAGCTCGAGAGAAGCGCACTTCGAGGTCTGAGAGGGGTGAAACAGGGTGAAGACGGGTGGAGACATTTCATTTTTCATTTTTTAGAATGAAGCTATATATATACACTTACACATACACATGAATTTATATATTGAACTGTTCTTAAGAGATTATATTTTGTTTAAAGCTTGGGATAGGCAGCGAGTAGAGGTGGTAGCTAACAAAGAGACAGCTACTAGCTGCTGGACGCAGGATAGCTCACGCTTCTTCAGGGAAGCTCCCCCTAAGGCGGGGGGAGCTTCCTTGAAGAAGCGCTCGCACTATTCATTTGGTTTATAGATCTTAGGGAAAAACGGGTGGAACAAGTTACTTGGAGGAGATTTTTTGTTGAACACGGCCTTTCCGAATGGACGATGCTTTTCATATTCATATTGTTTGTATTTCCTTTGATTTATTTTACTAAATCCTTTCTACGGGCCTCTCTTTGAAGACCCGTTCTATGCTTCCTTTTGCTCTTAAACCGGAACCAATTCATTGGGTGTGTAGGTCCTACCTGCGAGTCGTTGAGTCAAGAAAGGACGAGTAGAGCATCCACAGACCGCTGTTTTCCCACAAGAAAGCTCCGATGCGGAGTACCGTGGAGAGCTCCGAGAGTGGTTGGTTCTGAGTGTGGTGCAGGCGATCCCTCACATGGAGCTTCAGCTTGTGCCGTGCGAAGAGCGCCCCACAAGGTGGGGAACAGAGGGCTCAAGGACAAGCGAAAGGATGTTTTTCTCTTTCGCTTGATGGTAGTTATATATAGACCAGTTTTATGCATGTCATTTTTCTCTTTACCTTTCTTAGACGTTTAGACTTTTACATTTCTTTTTTTTTCAATTCCTTTCCTTCCGTGTTCTCAGAGAAGCCAGTGCCTTCGGCCAGCACACATCTTCAGCGTCTTGGATCTTAGTTCAGTCTTAGATTGTGAGCCATGATACTGCCAAGCCGAGCCTCACGAGTAAGGGCAGAGGCGGCTTTGTTAGAAGCCGTGGCGGAAGACGACCCTACAAAGGTGTCAAGCGCTTTGGGCCTGACTCATAAATATGCAGGAGAACTTCTTGCCTTGAAGGTGAAGGCAACTTACAACAATGCCTCTGATGGCAGTGCATTCTTTCACTCAATTGCCAGCTATGGCTTGCAATTTCAATTGGGAGAGAACATCACTGAATTGGCCAAGAGGAATGGGATGACAGAGGCCTTAAAGATCCTGGAAACGGTCGAGAAGCGGCTCGTCCCGCTAACCGTGCCGCTGGGTAGGCCCCTTGAGACAGAGGCTCTTCTCCTGAAGGCCATCAGTGCAGACGACGGGGCAGAGATCACGAAGCTCGCCTCATCTGTGAATGCACGGCAAGTTTCGCGAATTCTTTCGCTGAAGGTGAAAGATAGCTACAATGATGCGAACGATTCTACGGCCTTTTACCACTCAGTGGCATCACATAGTCTCAAGTTTCAATTGGGTGACACCTTGCTTGACTTGGCAGTAAGAAATGAAAAGCCTTCAGCAGTTGAAAGTCTCAAGAAACTGCTGGGGTATGAGGTGAGCAGCGAGATGCAACAGAGCACTAAAGAGAGCTCTAAAGAGAGCTCGAAAGTTATCAAAGCTTTCGTGAGAAATGCCATGAGCGGCGAGGAGCTCTGCCAGATCAGCGCTGAAAGCTCTTGGACCATTGCCCGTTTGGCCGAGGAAGTCGCAAGAGTCGCTCCCGCTGCTGGCGGTTGTCGGATCTTTCTCCTTGGAGAGTCAGCCGTGATGGCAGGCACTACCTTGGCAGATTTGACAGAGGGAGACACCTTGGAATTGTCTTCTTTGGTGAGAGAAAACGTTTCAGGCGTCTATTTCACGACCATCGCAGGTGCGGGCTCTTGAATTCTGTTCTAAGGAACACATGTCCGAACCAGAAACTATAGCTTGTGTTTGAAAACACTAGACTATATATAATGTATAGATAGATATCATGTGTTGAGAGCGTGACATTTCTACATGCCCAGAACCTTCAGGTGACGGCGGTCTTGATGACCCATTAGGGCCATTGGGAGGGCCGGGAGGGCGGCTCCTTCCCGGTGGGAGACGGCCGAAGCCAGCTGAACTGCGGCTGGAGCTCTGTGAGGATGGCACCGCGTTGGTGGAGTATTCGGCGAAACCCATTGACCGTGGGCACTGTGCCCCTCCTTCAGGAGGACACTTCGTCAGTGCTTCTGGGACTTGGACATTTGCGGCGCCAGGGGTGAAAGTCGACTTGACGAAGGGCTTCCATGGCCACTTCATTCGGATGATTCCAACCCGAGCATCGAAGTGGGAGCAGGAACAGTCCATAAGCCTTGCCATGGCCAAGGAGGACCAATTTGACGTGGTGGATGTAGTATGCCGGAGTTCCCGCAGTTCACCGGAAACGGTGTCTTTGAGGTCGCCCCATGTCCTATGCCCCAAGGGAGCTGCATTTGTCAAGACTGAGGGCAGGCGCCGTTTGTTGAAGAATTTCCGGATGGATGAGGAATTCGATTAATCAATCGAATCGAATTCGACCCCTCAATCCAGACGTTGGGCCAGACATTTTTTTCGTTTCATCAATAGTTCTCGCTGGAGCAACTCACAATCGGAGCCAAGCCTGAAAAGCACCTGAACCTGGGCCGCTGTGGGTTCCAAGGTTTTTCAGGGAGATGTATGGCTCCTAGTAGCTTCTTGTTCCTAGTAGTAAGAATGCTCCTAGTAGTAATGTCCTTTGTTCCTAGTAGCGATGCCCTTGTTACTTGTAGCAAGGCTAGGAGCTACGTTCGTAGCGTCCTTGCTCCTAAAGATTCTGCTTGCGTACGATGTATCGCTCAAAGCCAAGGTGAGGCTGAAGGATCTCCCATGGGCGCTCAACAAAAATTGCAGTCTTGAGCTCAGTCATGCGGCTGTGAGTCAACCTCCTTTGACCTCCCTTATGGAGGACTCTGTTCAGCTTCGGTGGTGAACCCGGGTGCCCGGGTATTGACCCACAGTCGTATCACAGCCTGCAGAGTTGCTTTTCGCAGATCTTTTCAGACCGAACGTGGACAGCGCAAGCTGGCGAGGTCATCGAAATCGATGCCGTTGGAGGCGCCTCATACGAAAAGGCATTCGAACCAGATGAACGGCGAAAGGTCTTAGTGTGTCTTAGGTATTCTGCTCTTGGACTTAACCCGAATTCCACTATAAACAACAGCAAATTCTTTCATGTTTTGGTCTTGAGGATACAATTGTGTCAAAGACAAGTCCACCAATACATGAGAGCTTGTGAATGCAAGTACGAAACTTTCAAGGTTCAAGAGTTCCAGGTTAGCAGCCAGAAAAAATGCAAAGAAACAAGAACAAGAACAAAGGAAGAAAGGTCTAAAGAAAGGAACAAAAGCGGAGAGAGCGGCCTAAAGCAAAATTAGGAAGTCAATTTGAGTCAAGTCGAATGCTTCAGGTTAGTGGCCACAGTGTTTGCGCAGACTTGGAGGCGAACTTGATGTGGTCATTCTTTCTTCGTGAGGGAAGGAGACGTCGAATCAAAGAACCACAGGAAAGAAGAAAGGCAGGAAGAAATGAAGAAATCTTTGTTTCTTGTGCGAAAAAGGCATTCTTGTTTCTACCAGTAAGGAGAAGACAAGTCCAAGACAAAATACCAAACCTTTTAATGCTCTAGCATACCAAGGACAAAAAGGATTGGACATGACTTGTCAGCTTGTTGAAAGCGAACATATTGTTTCCATAAAACGTGGCTCAATGTGAGCCACGTCAATAACCTCCATGAAGAGTTTGTGTGATGCAGTTGTCCGACGAAAGGCAAAACTCAACAAGCGAAATCTTTGAGAAAGCTATTGCGAAAGACATCATAAACACGTGGCTGCGTAAGGAATAGGCGAAAGAACATTTTTGATGACATGTTTATTGTACATATGTGTCCACAGTCGCCTTTTTAACTTCTTTCGTGAAAGGTCCCACGAAAGGGCTGAGCAAATAGTGTATGCCCGCGAAAGGCAAACTGTGGTCGCGTGCGCAAGGATGCTAGGATTACAAAGCCAGTTCCAATAGGTTTTCGACACTGTGGTTGCCATTTAAGAATGTGACGTAGCGTGAATGCGGGTGCTCACATGGTTTTCACATGTGTTTTGGAAGCCAACTTACCAATGTGAATGCAGCATTGCCTGCGAATCGCCTGCTGATGTGGCTCAAGATCTTCTGGGTTCAGAGGTCGCGCTTGGAGTTTAACAGGCAAACTCGCAGGAACATGCACCTTGGAGGTTTTCTTCGGGATGGCATGGCTGAGTGCGTCAAGTCCAAAAGAGAAGAACAGATGATGACGTGGCATCAAAAGTCACATGTGCTTTACTTTTTAAAATCCTTCTATTCTGTTTCCTTTCTGATTCGGTCTTCAACTGCTTGTTCGGTCAAGTCCCTGCTATTCCCCTTTTTCACGCAGTTTCCGTAGAATCTAGGAACCAAATGAATAGTGCGAGCGTGAGCTATCCTGCGTCCAGTGAGTAGCTTGAGCAAGGTACTAGCTACCTCAATTCCTTACTCACCTAGCTACTACTTACCTCTCTAGCGGCCTAGGCCTACCCCGCGCGCGCGCGCGCGTGGAAAAGAACAAGATCTCTTTTGTTCTCAAAGAATTCGACCGAGTCTCGATGTTGAGGGATGGTGCCCGACTCCACTACATGCATGGTCCAGGCGCTCCGCGGCTCCGCGGCTCCGCTAGCACCACACTGTCCGCTCGATTCCCGAAAAGTATTCTTCTTTTAATCTTTAGTAGCGTCCTTGTTCCTAGTAGCGATGCCCTTTGTTACTAGTAGCGATGCACTTGTTGCTAGTAGCTTCTTCTTTTAGTCTTTTACTAAGAATTGCTGTAAGAGTTCTCCTATTTTCCCTCCTATGTTAGAAGCTAATAGGGGCTCCTGGCCTTGCTACTAGGAGCAAGGACGCAACGAATGGGGCTCCTGACATCGCTACGAACGGAGCATTCTTACGTAGCCCCAAGTTGCGTTCTTCTTTTTTGTTCCTTATAAACTTATTAGTAACAAGAAGCTATTAGAAACAAGTGCATCGCTACTAGTAACAGGTGCCTTACTAGTAGTAACAAGAAGCTATTAGACACATCCTTTTTTGTTCCTGTTGTTCGGTCCTTCAAATTGTTCGCTTAGAGAGGCACTCCGTGGATCAGTGGCGGCTCCGAAGATGTGATCAACGGCTTTCTGACCTATCGGGAAGCACTGACCTTCAGGCGGATCGACTTCTGCCGGTGGGTTTAATATGTTTTAGTATGCTTTAGTACCCACTTCATCAGTGACGGATCTTTCTTTCTCCAACTTCTCCTTCAGATTTTTGGAACTTCTCTTTTTGCGTCATTTCTTCGAGAGAAGTGCATGTTTGTCAAGCTGAGACAGCGGCAACAGGCTGCGCCTCACCATGCTAGCTGGACGGCCAGACTTGCCCGTGCATTCTGAGCATCGTGCCTTGGCCTTTCCTGGAATTGTGGCGTATGACCGCAGATTGTTCGATTTCAGTTTGTGAATTATTCTTTTTTTTTGCTACTAGTAAGAATGCTCTTAGTAGTGATGCCAGGAGCCCGTAGTAGCGATGCCCTTGCTCCTAGTAGCGTCCTTGCTCCTAGTAGTAAGAATTGTGTCTTGCGATGTTTCCCTGCTTTTGCCCCCTTTTGAATGGACACACTATCTTGGCAGATGTGTTTCCCAATTCTGGAGCTACTGTTGAAGTGGCATGAGGGTGTTCAAGAGGCATACTTGCAGGCAGCAGCAAGATGGATTTGCTCGACGTGGAAGGGCATGATCTGGTCGGACCTGCGGTACGTATTCCCCTTCTCATGTCAGACATCATTTATGAAGCTCGCCTGACATGACAGCTGCTTTGACTGCCTGTTTTTATGTTTTGTTTTATTCGTTTCGCACCACCATTCTGCCCATGTTCGTCAAGCAACCGTCAGCCTCGTGAGCGAAGGATTCAGTTCCTGCATGTTTGCAGCACCTGGGAAGCTATGTCATGGCCATTGCGCCTCGAGGGCCAACGCTCCGTTCAGGCATCCAACTTATCAAATTAGAAACAATGTTCGCTATTAGAAACAAGTGCATCGCTTCTAGTAACAAGTGCCTTACTAGTAGTAACAAGAAGCTATATAGTAGAAACAAGACTTAGTAATTATCAATCCAGATGAGTCAAGGATGACACAATGAGTTTGTTTGCATTGTTACTAGTAGCGATGGCCTCCACCCTACTAGCGATGGCCTGCAACCTAGTAGCTTCTTGGCCTGTTTTTTGCAACACCACCAGCAGCGAACAAATGCATTGAACCAAATGCATTGAAAAGGCCTGAGATGTGTTCCCTTCCCACTGGAGGTTAAGGGGTTCGAGGTCAGGATTTTCTGCATGGGAACCATTCAATGCGAAAACACTTTTGGAGGGCCTTCGATCTCCTTCATTGGCCTGCATTTTTTCGTTTTTTTTTTGCTACTTGAAGAAGCACGCTTTCTTTTCTTTACAACGCTTCAGCACTCTTCAGCACTTCTATGAGACCTGCTACTAACTTGATAAAGCATAGTTTCAGCTTCACCTACGTCACTCGTCACGGTCTTTGCTTCGTTCTTTCCGATTCAGGCGAAGGTGTCGAAAGTGGCATCAAGCAGGTATGGTTCATATGCTTCACAGGCTCCTTGATGCTGATAGTAAAACTCGGTTTGAGCTCCACGGTCTTTGAGAGGGAACAGCACGTCGAATGAATGAAGACGAGCGTAGTCTTGCCCGTCATGTGTTGTTTTTTTTGCTGGTTTGGACAATGAGCTTGGTTTCTCTGGAATTTGTGGCAGTCTCAAACATGCCACAGGCACAAAAGATGCGTTAGCGAAGTTTCTGTCCAAAGCTCAGTTGGAAATCCAAGCACAAAACATCACAAAAGAACGCTACTAGTAGCTCCTGGCCATACTACTAGTAACAAGAAGCTACGAAGGGAACAAAGGGCACATCGCTACGAACGGAGCGGATCGGACGCTACGGAAATGGCTTCTTCTTTACGGAGCTAAGCTCGTCGCCACCGACTCTGACGTCTGAGGTCTCGGCTCTCCTCAGCTGGGGCACTACGTTGGGACACAGAAGTCCTGGGACAGAACTGGCGTTTGCTCCACACAGGACGAAGCCAGGTGGCCTCCTGTTGGCCCAGGCGGGAGGAAAAGGGGGAAGGTCTGCTCCGTCCGAAGGTCGAAAAGAACAAGGCAGATGCTGCATATGGATCATATAGCATATGGCATGCACATTCACAAGAGACTTCAACATCTCGCAAAGAACGGAAGTGATGTTTTGATGTATTTTGTTTTGTTTTGGATGCAATTTCTTCTTCCCTGTTACCTGTTCATCCCTTTTTCTTATCCCTTTTCCACGCTCGACTCGGTTCAACGAGGATGTCGATGGCTCACGCGACCAGCCACGGCCGGAGAATCGGTTTGCCCGCGTGTGTGGCCGTCAAGACCTTTCTGCGCTCCGCCGTGGAGC